GTGACTTTGATAAAGCCATATTATGTATCCCCGCTATAGACTGTGGAGCATAGGCTGATTAGATTATTCCAAGATAGTGGACCACCATTTAGAACTAGCCTACTGGAGTACTCTGATACCTTGATTTCAGCCTAGAGATCTCATTTAACAATTGTCTGATTTTATTTTGATATGTAAATGAGTATTTTTTGTTGAAGATACTTTTTAGAATTTTTGAGAATTCTTTTGGAATTTTTTCAAAGTATAAAATGAAATTTGTTTGGGGCAAATTCCAAGGAAAGGACACCTAGTGAGGGTTCACACGTGGCCCCTAAATGGCCATAGTGTGACCAGGTGGCACCCCACAGCCCCACCTAGTTGATGACATCAGCATGACATCAAACTAAAGGGGTGTCCTCTTTGGAATGAAGTTATTTGTTCATTTTAGTTATAATGTTTTAAATAAAGTTATGTTTTATAACTTCATTGTTTTTAATTATCACATGAGTCTTTAACACACATGTGAATTTGATCACATGTGACTAGGGTTAAGCCCAGCCATTGATATTTTGAACTAAACCCTAAGTATTTGATGGAAATACTACCTTGGTCAACCCTTTTAGATGGCTCAATCCTATTGACTAAGCTCATGTGAATTTCATTAAATAGCACATTGTGATTAGCTAATCTATGAGAATTATCTTAATTGGAGTATTTTATAAAATAAAGTTTTAAGTTACCATAAGGGCATACACTACCCTTTTGATGTTTCATTATTTTCATAAAGTCTTATTAACTATTTTGGAATGAGAAAAAGGCTTATGAGATATTTATTTCCTACCTTAGGATAATTTGGTAAAATGGCTTGATTGTGTGGTATATGAAAGCTTTATTGCTAATGGAGAGACCGATGTGTTGGTATTGGACTCCGGCGCCATGGTTCATGTGGCTAATTCCATAAGAGGATTCTATACTTTTGGGGAGCTCAAACCGGGAACTCGTAACCTTTACATGGGGGGGAACCAAGTTAAGAAAGCGTTGGGAGAAAGGGTGAATATATCCTAGAGCTTGCTAATGGAGAGACTCTTGTCCTTAAGGACAATTTTTATGCCCCGAGTATGAGGAAGAACCTTGTCTCCGTGTTGAAGATGAGCAAGGCGGGTATTGCGGTTCTGTATAAGGAAATTGACGTCTATGTCTATGATAGTTCGCTTATGGGGGATCTTGTCTATGTTGCTTTGCTTGTGTATGGTATTTACCAAATCGCAATAAAAGTGACGTGTGCTCTTGTTACAACAGTTGTACTTAGAAACTTCAACAAAGAATTTTTATACTCAACATTTGGACATACAAATTCAAATTCTCTTAAGTCATTGTTACACCTTCAAACTTTAGTTACAAAAACTCAAATATCACTTGAAAATGAAAAATTGCAAGTCAATGGGGTCCCAAAGTTATAAACTCAGAACACTTTGCACATGGAGATACAAACTATGTCACTCATCATCATCATCATTTTAGCCTTTTTCCAATTAATTGGGGTCGGCTACATGAATCCTGGTTCTCCATTTTGCTCTATTAAAGGCCATATCCTCGCTGGGGAACGCCCAACATAAGTAGATACTATAAGTTTATCAGGATTAATGATCGCTTCTATAACTTTCCCTTACTTGGGTATGGGATGAGTTAAGGGAAATTAAGGTCATCAACCTTCTTAGACACATACAAACTATGTCACTATGCACATAAAATAGTACATGGACTGCACATACGATTTCTTCATCAATTTGTAAATCACAATAACAAATTATATTTCATTCTCTATGGCATAAAACATTCACAAACTCAAAGTGATAGCAAAATGAGTACAAATTATGCAAGAGAAGCCAATAGTCGAACCCTTTATGCCTGAATCTCATAAATGAATCTTTTAGGAACTGAATTTTGTCCCATAGCATGGATGGTTCATGTCACAAAGGTTAATATTAATCTCACAAAGGGAAGCTTATGATCTATCACTTGATTAGGTTCAAAAAGAGAGAGAGAGAGAGAGAGAGAGAGAGAGAGAGAGAGTACGTTAGTAGAGTAGACGAACAGTAGTAGGTAAGTACGTAGTAGACAATAGTACTACACTATAGTAAGTAGACATAGTAATAATACGTAGTTAGTTGTTA